CATTGTTATCTTATTGTTCTTCATGAGCTTTTGCCTTAGGTTTGTCTTTTCTCTCTTGGAGAGCCCACTGAATACGAACTATGATTCAGAACCATAGGATTGACGGGGCTTGATAGGATGTGATCTGGGATGAGAAATGTGTGCCCCCGATTAGAGTAATGCCTTGATTGTGAAGGGTGTTGGCCATAGACTTGGATGGTGGATGTGAAGATTTTGCGCTTCTTTGTCCAGAGTCTCTTGGTGTATTGGACGGGGAGCGATCTCTCGTATTGTCCCTAGGATGATCATCATCCTTATCATCATTGTTTCTCTTTTCCCCCTTTTTGGCATCATCGGCACAAGTAGTAGGAGGCACAGTGGGCAGCTTATTTACTGCAATCAGAATGTCTTGCACATATCCGAGAATTTGAAGAGCATACTGTGCCAGTTGATATGTATTGTCATGCGTAGTCTCCATTTTGGAGCAAGCTAAGTCAACACGCTCCTTGAGGCTAAAGTACGAATGCTTGAGTTCGTGTTGTTGACGTGCCACTTTGTTGACAGAGGTATGGAGTTCATGAAGCTTCTTCGCCAATTGTTCGTTGAATTGTTGGTCAGGTTGAGCTTGTGGTGGAGGTTGAGGTTGCTCTTGTGGTGGCGGACGATACTGAGCTTGAGCAGCCATCAATTGATCCACCTTCTTGGATAAGTCTTCCATTACTTTGGTGTCCCTTTGTAGAAGAATTAAGTATTGCTGATGTGTAAGTTCGGCAGCATGAACCGTATCCCTCATGAGGTTCATGACGTTTCGTGGGGACAATGGTGGAGAGTCATCTTCAATATTTGTTTGTGGAGTATCAATCTGGTCTTCTTGAAATGGTGCATCCTTTTTGCCACCACTTGCTGAGCTAAGAAGTATTGGTGAGGCTTCCAGTTTGCCCTCACGTACAATTGCTTCCTCTCGTTTAATTGGAGTTTCGTCCATGGGTTGAACATGTGGAACGAGAGCACGAGACAGATCCTCAGGTTGATCATTTGAAACGTCTTCAGCTTGATGTGATGCTTCCCTTTTGTCATCACTTTTGGAGGATGATTCTTGAGATGGAGAGCCTTCGGGAACCACTTCATCGTAATCTGGACCAACTAAGAGAGGAGATTCACTGTCATAGTTCGGGTCAGCCCCATTATTGTCATCATGGCCTGAATCATCATCATCGTCGTCATCATCATCATTCTAATCATCTGCATCCTCAACATCGTTAGTTTCGTCTTCATCTTCATCACTACTCTTTTCGTCTTCTTCTTCGGCCGTGTCAATCTCTCGGCCTTGCTCATCTTTCGAGCCACTGACATTGCAGTTAGGATCATTTTGATGTTCTTTCTCCAGGATGGTTTTGACTTTGGATATCAACATGGCATATCGAACCATCTTCATTTCTTCGACAAATGCTGGGTCCAAGGGAGGTTTGTTAAGCTCAATACAAATCGGAGCTTTATCCTTTCCGAGAGTGTAATTGGTCATTTTGTAAGAAAAAACACGTCTTATTGTCTCAAGACGAAGTGCCTCATAGACATCCTTCGTGGCAATCCACTCTAGGGCAAACTTCTCTTCATCCTTCATGGCTTCAAAGGTTTCAATAAATGTTTCCAAAGGGGCTGTGCGCCATTTTTGCCATTGCAACACTCTGTTGTAGTCATTTTCAATAGACTCTCGAAGCACTTGATCTCTTGTTAGCGGTCTCGGTGTAGCTTCGGGAACAGATGTTGATGCTTTCGGGATGGTTGGAATATCAACTGTTATAATTGCTGTCTTATCTACCAACACAGGTTCTTGTGTCAAAGTATTCTTTACCTGCTCTGCATTGGTAGGTTCTTGTGGAAGAGATGGTACTTCAGTCAATTCAGCAGTCACTTCTTTCGTCTTTGCTGGCGAGCCAGGTTCTTGTGGAAGACTTAAGTGACCTGCCTCCGTTTCCATAGCAGCAGGTTCTTGTGTCGAACTCTGAATATTTCGCTCTGCTGAAATGGGTTCTTGTGGATGAAGGACTTGGGGAGAGCTTTAGCCAAGGTTGGGCACTTGTTGTTCAGAAGGTTTTTCTCGAGAGACTTCTTTCCGCTGACCTTCCCCCTGAGAAAATGCTTCTCTTGGGTTATCGTCCTCCTTCGGGGAGAGAGTTGGGCCAGATCTCGTTTTGACAGGAGAATGGAATCGTCCCATTTTCCCGAGAGTTGACAGAACCAAATTGTCTTCATCAGATGAATCTTCAACAACGACTGTGTCTGGAGGTGGAACAAGTGGGGTAGGAGTTCTCTTTTTTGTGGGAGATTTTGGTGATGTGGGAGTGGATTTACTGACAACATCTTTTTTCGTCTTAACCCGAGACGAGCGCTTTTCTTTCTTCTGCCTTTTCGGCTCTGGTTGGTCATCTTCTGATTCTTTTGGCGTTTTCGATTTTTGTTTGGTTTTAACCATCTCCAAAGGAATTCCCAACTCCAAGGCTTTCTGTTTGTCATAGCCGGAGGGCTTTTGCTTCATGTGGCAGGCTTTTGGTCCTGGCCGAATTCCTTTTCTCATAAGGACATCCTTTGTGACAAGCAGATGACTGACCAAGAATCCATAGCCCATTTTCTTCGTGATGTCACCAGGACTTTTTTTGTTGAAGGTAATGGTATGAACAAGGTTGTTGAAGATAACTTTCGACCAATCGACCTTGTGTTCGTGAAGGAATGCATGCAGCATTTTGAGCTTCTCCTTTGTGACATCGTCTGTTCCAGAAGTTTTGTGATCAACGATCTTATTGAAGATGTCAACAGTGAATTCGTAGTTCAGACGAAACCACTTCTTCTTCAAAGGCCATGTGATCTCCGTCTTCGAGGGTGCATGATCATTCTTGATGGTTTCATAAAACTCACTGGGGTCATAGTGGTAGAAGGAGAGGTTGGGCTTGTACGTTTCATCCTTCTGAGGAAACTCATATGCGGCTCGTATGTCCTCTGATGTGATAATCACTTGATGATTGTGAACTCTGGATGTGATGGTTAGTGTATCGGAGGAAACAGTTGCATTCATGTAAAATTGAGCAACATCAGTAGGGTACCATAAAGTATATAGGTGAGTGATAAACCTGTATAACCCAGTTTCTGTGAGCAGAGTGATGATCTTTTCTCCAAACTCGCGATTAAGAACGTATTCGAGGAACCCATGAGCATCCCACATACTTCCACCGGCGATAAGCAGAGCCCTGGATTCTATAAAGTCCAAATCTTCCGTGGGAAAGGAAGCTATTACCATGGTGGCTGGGGTTTCTTGTTCGGCATCGGAGGGAGTAGCTTTGGATTTCTTCGCCATTGTGAGAGAGTTTGATGAGAGAGGTATGAGAGATTAATTTTTTGGAGACGGAGGGTGAATGAAAAAGTTGAAGTATGATATGGGAAGGGTTTTTGTAGGGTTTGCGTGTTTCACGGGTTTTCAAATACGGGTGACCCGTAAGAGTGGTGGGTAGTTTGAATTTCAAACTTTCAACCGGTTCCACTTCTTCAAAAAGGTAACTGATCTGATTATAGGAGAGTGATAAGATCATGCTCAGATCAGTTTTGATCATTCCATATTAAATGTGGAGAGAGAAATCCACTCAAGTGCCTGTACGAGCATTAAATGCACATCAATTTATCTGTCAGACATCGTGGGGTAGTGGACCATTTTCCTCGGCCACACGATCCCCATGATGAAACGTGTAAACGCTTCAGATGAGTCATTTAATATGAAGCTTCTCAAGTACGACTGAAAACCGAAACAAGATAAACTTCACTTAACAAAAGATTTGTAAGACAAATAAAGTCAAACAAATCTTATACAAAACATACAACACTGAAGTTCCAATTAATTTTGCAAATATTGGAACACTGAAGTTAATTGTGTTAGAATGATGCTATTCTTCTCTTGTGACTTCTGCAAAGGGGATTTCTTCTGCAAAGAAATTATTATTTGAGAGAAGGGAAGATTGTCCACTTCGTGTTTGCAAAGTTGCAACTAAGGTTTCTCTCTAATTCTTGTTCATTATTTCAAAATATTAGTTTTTTGCCTTCTAATTCCATGTATTAATTTAATTAATTATTTATATTTGTACTCATTTTCAATTACTTTTCAAGGTTAAATTGCCAAATAATGAAAGCTGTGAAGAAGAAACTGCAGAAAACTCTGAAGAAGAATGCACGAGAAGCTCTAAAGTTTCTCTCTAATTCTTGTTCATTATTTCAAAATATTACGGAGTAGTTTTCTGCATTCTAATTCCACGTATTAATTCAAGTATTTATTTTTGTACTCATTTTCAATTACTTTTCAAGGTTGTGCCAAATAATGAAGGCTTTAAAGAAGAAACTGTAGAAAGTTCTGAAGGAGAAAATGTGGAAAGCTCTAAAGAAGAAAGTGTGGGAAGCTCTAAGGTTTCTCTCTAATTCTTGTTCCTTAATTCAAAATATTAAATTTTTGTCTTCTAATTCCATGTATTAATTTAATCATTTATATTTGTATTCATTTTCAATTATTTTTCAAGGTTGAATTGTCAAATAATGAAAGCTCTGAATTGAAAAAGTAGAAAGTGTGGAAAGCTCTAAAGAATAAAGCGTGGGAAGGTCTAAAGAATTAAGTGTTGAAAGCTCTCGTCAAGAAAGGTTGAAAGCTCGGAAGAGAGTGATGAAATATCTGAAGAAGAAGTTGTCGAAATCATTGAATGGATTCAAAGAATTGAAGAGGAAATTGTTGTAATATCTAAGAAGAAATTGAGTGAGGAATTCTTTAATTTTGGGTTTATTATAAATTTATGAAAGCCAAAGTGTGTAAGTATATATCTATGAAATTTGTGGTTAAACTCCATATTATCTTTTGCACTTAATTGCCTATTACTTTCTAATTTTATTTATAGACTTCATTGCAATTTTATCTTTCAGCTTTAGCTAGGTTCCTGGCTGAAGTTCATAAGTTCATCATTGCTGAATAAGGCCGATTTGATGAGTGTTTACCATAGTCCAAATTACTTCAATTCTCTAAATGAGTGAACCAATATAAGATAATAACTAATAACTTGAATGTTTAAAAATTAAACATAAACAACGTTGAATGGTTTGTTGTCACAAGGACTATTTTATTGTACTATCCAAAAGGTGGTTATTACAACAACAAATTAAAGGTGACATAAAGTATATAAAAGAATATAATGGCTTAAAGCCAAACTAGGAAGAGGAAAGTAAACAAATTCAGATAGAAATTAAATTGGCTATTTGGCATAAAGTATATCATCATGATGACTACTACTTCTTAGCTTCCCAATTGGACACCAAACATTTCTTATTATTTGTATTGTAAGCTTGTATGAAACTGTTTTCTTGGGGTAGTTGGTACTACAGTCTACAGGAGCCCTATGCAAAAAATAAATAAATAAATAAATAAATAAAAATACTCGTAAAATTTTATTTACGAGAAACTAAATATTTCATGTTTATTGCATTTTAATTACATGTGACACTCTTGACCGTACATTTGAATTATAGTGTTATAGTCATCCCTGTTAGTAATATTATTATTATTATTACTATTATTATTGATTACTACAATTGTAACACAATAATAATAATAATAATAATAATAATAATAATAATAATAATAATAATAATAATAATAATAATAATAATAATAATAATAATAATAATAATAATAATAATAACAATCCCCTCTTATCCCACCACCTACCCCTCCAATTATAGATCCGCCACACCCGCATGGGCAGCTCAACTGGTCACAGAGGTGAAACTTTAGAAGAATGACCAGGGATCGAGTCTCACCAGCGGCAGTGTGAGAGTAACCTCTCAAAGTGAGGGGGTTCCTTGTGCGCAGCGAGCACAGGTCTACCATAATTTACATCCTCTCAAATGCTCTGTCGGGTCGGTGTATGGGAGGCCCTTAATTTACATCCTCTCAAATGCTCTGTCGGGTCGGGGTATGGGAGGCCCTTAAGTTTGGGGTTCAGCCGGGAAGAATTATAGATCCGCCACGTTTCCTTCTCAATTGTCCTAAAAGTAGCTAATTTTACAAAACCTTTAGCAAAATTGACAAATATCGACCGAACAGTCTAGAAACTTAAAAGTCAAATGACTTTTATGTAATTTAAGTTGTTAGGTAAAGGGATAAGATAATTTATTCGATTGCTGGGAGGATAATTAAAGGGACGATAGAAGTCTTTAAAATTTTATTTCTAGCCTACTCAGTCAAGTTTTAATAGTTATGTTTAAAATTGGATAAAATTAGTAATTTTGAGGATAATTGGGGAGAAATATATGGTGTTATTGTGGGGAAAAAAGTAGACTAGATCACTATAAATTAAAGGTCAAAATTATCGTTTTCTAATCAATATTTATTAAAGTGTACAAATAATTGGCAAGTTGGTAATGGTGACAAATCATGCATTTTATTCTAAGATTTTCTATTCATTCATAATAGAGAATGCAATAAAGGAATGCTACATATAATAATAATAATACTCACAACAACCATATATGCACTATTGTTTTTTTAATCTATCACTTGGCATTTTTTTCTTTTTTCTTAGTATTTCTGCTGCAAGTTGGCATGTTATATAGCTAACATTTTATAGACCAGTTCTACAGATTACAAATGACTTTTTTTTTATAAATAAAAAATTTGAATGGTGACAATTACATAGCTCTGCCTTGCCATTTCTACCATTAATAATTCTTTAAGAAAACATTAGGCGTTGTTTGGTGTTCTGCTATCATAAGGCTTTTGTTAGTTTTTATTGAGTTTGATCATTGTGCACCTCCTCTAAAGCAATTAAGCAAACAAAGTAGTAGCTAGGTATATAATAATTTGAATCAATCAATTCAAGCAATTCTTTAGCAACAGTTTTCTTGTCAATGTTTTGCCAGTACTCTATATACATGGAAGAGCTAGCATTTGATTTGCTTTGCGTTGGGAGCATGTCGATGGTTGTGAACCTCTATTTAAATGGAATTTTAACCTTATTGGGATACTTTTTGACCCAAAACTTCAAGAAAATTATTCAAGACACTTTTGGAGAGTTTAACGACTTCAATTAATTAAGATTTCTTCAAATTTTACATCGCTACTCCATCAATATTTAACAATTATGTCAGGGATAAAAATAGTTTTTATTATTATTTTTTATTTTTTTGCAAAATAAGAAATTAATTTTCATTATCAGCAAGTAAGACATCCTACATAAACAATGGCAATCAGACAAAGAACCTGCGTCCCATATAATAATAGTCACACCAACCATATTGTTTTTTAATCAATCCCTTGGCATTTTTCTTGTGTTTCTACAGCAAGTTGGTACATTATATATATATATATATATATATATATATATATATATATATATAGCTAACATTTTATAGATCAATTCTAAAGATTGCAAATGACTTTTGGTTGTTTTGACCATTTTTGAGAGAAGAAAGAATTGTAATTTGATAGGAAAAGAATAAGGT